GTGTTCTTAATGTTTAAAATAAAATTCTCATGTGATAAAAGAAAATTCTAGATTAGAAGAAATTGTTTTCTAGGATAACTTTTTCTTTCAAGGCTAGTTTTTGGCTAATATCTCGGAACAGACAGAAGATACCGGCATTTTTGTTCTTACATTTTTTACAGAGCCAAGTTAGAGCTTTAAAAAAGCTATTTTCAAAAATAGCGCTATTTTGCTTGAGTTCCAAGATATCTTCCAAACACTGGTCTAGAAAAACCGACACTTATGCTGGTTTACCACAACGCTGCAGAATTTATGTTCACATTCACCTCTGTGTGAAGTATTACCCTGAAAATAAATGTACAAAGTTCATTGATATTGCCTGGTTTGCGGCATATTCCAAGAATTTTCGTTGAATCGATTTTCACAAGGTGGAAAGCCGCTATCATAAATTAGAGTAGACACAGTGGCATGTTTGGTTAAAGTCAGGTCACAGCGGGTGAGGCTCGTAGAGGGTGTCTAACCTCCTGGAAATAAACAGGAAGTCATGTGTGATTGAAACGACAGTGAGAAAGTTCCTGGATCTTTCCTTTCCGATTTATATATTTCTTATCGCAAGTATGCCTTGTCATTCGTCGCGTGTCATCCATCACTTTGAGAAATTTTTCAAGGGACGTACACGAGGTTCACCCCATCCAATCTTGCGCGATTGCACAATCCAAAATTACTGAATGGGACTGGAAAGCCAGAAATTAAGGGAGGAAGATGAAAATAGTTTATATGTAAGGTTGAAAAAGGAGCGGGCGCATGCGCACGTTCAGAGGTTCAACTGAGGCACCTGTGGACCTCATCGATCCGATCTGGTTACGAGGGAAGCGCCGCCTACTCAACAGCCTACGACATGTAAACCAATATTTTTTTTTCCCCCTCATTTTTGCTTTTTCCCCCCTTACTTATGACATCACTGAAATCAACTTTAACCTATTGCTCTACGGTAAAAAATGTAAATGACAATTTTAAACTAGTAACGAGGGTCAAACTTCGTTTTAAGCTTGAACCACAGGAATTTATATTTTTAATCCTGCGATCTAACAAAAGTCTCGTGTTGTAAAAGAAAGTTATAATAAAATTATGGATTTTAATTTTTGGTAAAATTGTTATTTTTATTGCAAGACATTGTCTACTGGTTGATGAGGGTTGTCTTGGAAGGCCAGTTTTTAGTTAATATCTCGGAATTGAAGGAACATACCGAATTTTTTGATCTTCCATTTTTTATTGAAAACGTGAGAGCTACGAAAAAGGAACTTTGAAAACATTTTCGTTGTTACTTTCAGTCCTATTTATGGCATCACT